ACTCGAGATCTTTCGTTATGGATGATGAAATGAATCGCAGACTCAGAAAAGCTAGTGCCATATTTGACAGGCTCCGCAGCACTGTTTGGGACAGGAGAGATATCAGACGAGAAACGAAGATCAAGGTCTGTAGCGCTGCAGTCCTCTCGACATTGCTCTAAGGATGTGAAACATGGACAGTCTACCAGCGTCATGCCAAGAAACTGAATCATTTCACGGAACCTGCCTCAGGAAACGCCTCGGCATCAGGTGGCAAGACAAAGTCCCTGACACTGAGATCCTCGCTATAGCGAACGTTCTTAGTATCTTCACCACCCTGATGCAGTCTCCATTGGATGGAAGACCACCGATTACCGAAACAGATATTCTTCGGAGAAATCACGAGATGCAAGTGCTCCCAATTAGGTAAAAAAAGCGTTACAAAGACTCACTGAACGTGGCACTAAATGCCTTCAACATCAACCCTACTCAATGGGTGCAGACAGCCCAGGACAGAGCCAGGAGGAGAACTTCTGTCAAGGAGGAGGCTAAATCCCATGAAGCTAATAGGATAACCACAACTGAGACATGCAGGCTTGCTCGAAAGAACAACATTAGGTCACCTTCTGCAGCGCCCGCGGTGCCAGAGATTCTGATCCTTTCTTGGTGGATATTAAGTGTCATAATAAGACTCACAATATGAAACAATTTCCTTCTGTTCATTTGCTTAAGTAAATTCTTGTGGAACATATCGTATGTATTTATTTTAACCCAACACAACTTGTTAATTTTTTATTTTTTTTTTAAAAATTACTGCGAAACACAAACCGGGAAAATACAATCAGAAACCATATTTCGGACAGTGTTCAAGACATTTAAAATAGATAAATTGTTGGAAAAAAATGTGTTTATGTTTTAAAAATAAATAAAGCAATTAAAAGAACCTTTTGTGTAATTGACTTCATTTGAAGACAACACAATACAAGAAATAAGAGATACAATTTTGTTTTAAAAAAAAGGGTTTTTTAGAAAATTTGATTAAAGTCCATACAGATCAATGATCAAAATGTTATAAGATCAATATTATTTGTAAGAAATGAAAGTTGAATTGTTAAAACAAAATATCCCCATCATTCAATGGTGCGTACACTCAAGGTAAAATAATTTAAGCATTACTAATGTAAAAAAGAAGATTCAATACTACACATTAAAAGTACAAACGGGGTGTATAAAATAAACCAGTCAGTAAGTGTTTGATTGATTCCATAATGGAGTAATGGTTGATTCCCTATAGTGCTATGGCGACAAAAATCTGAAATAATTTGTTTTCATAATCGATTCTCGATGTTGTGTTTGTGTTTAAATTAAAGCCGTAATCGATACATTAGTATGGGCCTCAAAATTAAAACCACAATCGATAAAATTGTAGTGACCTTGAAATTAGAGCCGCAAGCGATACAACTTTAATGACGTTGACATTTAAGCCGTATTCGATACATATATATAGTGATATTGAATTTAGAGCCGTAATCGATACATCTGTAGTGACCTTGTAATTATAGCCGTAATCGATACATTGGTAGAGACCTTGAACTTGGAGCCTTTGTCGATACATCTGTAATGAAATGGAAATTAGAGCACATGTGTATTATTGACCTTGAGTTTTTAGCCGTAATCGTTCATCTGTTGTTACCTTAAAATTAGAGCCGTAATCAATACATCTTTTGTTCACTAATTTCCGTTGAAGCCCTGCCAATGACGTCATTAATATATATTTTTTTATTTATGGCCAATTTACTATTTTTTTAAAATCATGTAGACTAAGTGAACCATAATTGAATAACCCCTTAGAAATGTGTTCGTATTAAACCTTATAAAATATATTATTAAGTAACGAGCGTAGGGGAGGATAATTGGACGAGGTACTCTCCTGGAATAAACTGATCTTCAAATCAACCACTCGCCTTTACCCCTATGATTAAAGTTATCTTTTATTTTTGAAAAATTACAAAAGAAAATATTTCGCACTTGTGATATCTATCTATAGAATCTCAAAATCTGTATGGTCGAGTTGCGTAAACTGAGTCATTCCAAAGCTTGTGGTCTGCTAAACGATACACAAAAAAAAAATACAAAAAAAAACATACCCTCCAACTCCGAAACTCTGCAGGGAAAACCAGAAAAGGTTACTATAACGTCTTTAGTTATTGTATATATTCGTTGAGTATTTCTTAATCTGTTACTTAGTCTATAACTGTGACAGAGTTTTCTACATACTTAACACTATAATTTTTCTGTATGGATACATGAGGAAAGTCCAAAAGATAGCTTCACTATATATTTACTCACAGAGAATCAAAATGTCACAATATGAAAGAAAACTCCAGAGTGGAGTAAACTACATTTATACACGTCAATTTTCTTTCTTAAAATTCTTAAATATGTAATGGCTAATCCGATGCCATAAGATCAGTGGCGTTGCTAGGGATTTGGGGTCCCCTCAAGTAGGGGCCCGTGTGGACTTTCGAAATTGGACACCCTCTCCCCTAGCTACGCCACTACATAAGATGCATTATTGCTAGGGCATACATTCTTCATAACCCCTTTGAACATATCACAAGATTGATTAATTGATTCATTGATTGATATGATATATGTGGTCGGATTTTTTAATCCGCAATACAATGCGTGCTGCAGTATTTTGTATCTTTTGGAGTCTCTGAATTTAGTTCTGAGGTAAACACCACAAACAACTATTACAGTAATCTAATTTTTACTTGATTAGAGTTACTGCTTCAGCATTGGCTGTTCTCCTATTGAGTTGAGGACGCAGCTGACAAAGGGCACGCAGATGACAGAAGCATGCCCTTACAACAGAACTGATATGGGGAATCATACTACGTTTACTGTCAATATAAAAGCCAATGTCTCTGACAGTCAAGGACAACAGGATCTCTGATTCACCAACTTTTTTTGATGCAATAGGAACTTTCCGAAGATTGGCGTCTGAACCACAAAAAAATTGCCTAAGTCTTATCGTCATTTGATTATATTCTGTTTGATGATATCCAATCTCTCACATCAAGACAGCAGTCCTCAAAAGCCTGAACTTTTGTTTGGAGTAGCACACTCCAAGGGATTGGGGCGGAAACACTTGTATAATTCTGTGTCATCCGCAAATATTTTGCTGGAAATACCATGACTCTCTATAATTTTGCAGAGCTGGCTAGTGTACATGGAGAGCAAAATAGGTCCAAAAACTGATCCCTGTGGCACACCACAGGTAACGGAAGTGTCCATGGACGATTCCAGCTTCACTACAATACGCTGAGTCATGTCAATCAGTTAAAAGAAAACCAGTAAAGGGCAGTTCCAGTAATGCC